TGGCCCAGCTGCCTAATATTTTTGAAGAGCAGCAGCATTTTCCACAAGGTTATCAAGGGGCGGAGATGAAGGGTAAAGGATTTTAGTAGAATTTTTCTGGACATTAAGAATGTATTTGCCCTTCCTATTCCACTCCCCTTTTGAGACTGAGTAAACATTTGAATTATTTTAAATTATGTGTTGGATATAGGACTGTTTCTTTGAACGGAACATCACACTGTGATGGACCATAGAGGGCCTTAGCCATTATTTAAGATACACTGAACTATTTAAATGCAGTTGTAACAACTATTTATATGCAACTGTGCTATAAAAGAAAAGTTCGGGATATTATGAGAAGGCATATCAGAAGAGCCTGGCCTAGTATGGGTGGTCAGGGAAGTCTTTGCTGAGGGTACGACATGGAAATAATGTTCGTCAAGAAAAGAGTGGGGAAAAGAAATTTTTCAGGCAAAACAAACATGCATGCAAAGGCCCTGAGGCAGGATGGAGCTTATGCATCTAAAACACAAATCTAAGGGGAAACTGGCAACAGAAAAATCAGAGATTGAGGCTAGACTATGTAGGCCTTTTAAGCCATTCAAGGATTTCATCTTGATCCTAGAGCTAATTGAAATCCATTTCAGGTTTTTATGACAGGCAGTCACATGGTTCTGATATATGATCATTTATCATTTCATATCTTCAAGCAACCATACACCACCCTGTATGGATCATACTGGTCAGGCCGGCTGCACCAGGAAGATAAAATAGTCCAGCACTTCTTTAAGGAGAAGCTTAGTACTGTTAGCCAAGTTAAATCTTTAGGTTTTCCATGCCATCAAGGAGTATATAGTTGGTGCTAAATAAATGCTCATTATCTTGAATTAGGAAAAAGCAAAATAAAACTCAAAAACCAAATCATCCCAAAAGTTAAGGGAACTGCCTTCTTTTTAAAGATTTATTCTGTCTGAGGCCTTGTTCCTTTCTCGCCACTCACTTCTAGAAGATTAACAAGAGTAATTTGAACAAAGTTCAAGGGGGAAATGGAACTAATAACAAATGAACACAGCCCAGGATCAACCAGTGGCTAAAATTCAATCAAGTTAAATGTACCATTTTTTTTTTCAGTAAGATTTAATTTTTTTAGTGAAATTTGCAGCAAACTAACCAAGAAGGCCCATCCAAAAAATTTTTAAATTATTTCCCATTGGTTATTTCTGAACTGTCACAGTGAAATACACGGGTATTTCCCAGGACCTTTCATTACATTGTAGCAAGCCCCATAGAGAACCACCCTGCTAGGTCGAAGCAGCGGGCCCTAGCAATTTTCTTCTAGGGGAAAATCGAATCATAAATAAGAAAAGCAATTTAGAGAGCTGAGCTGGCTCCATCCATCCTTGCCCAGGAAGACCTGTATGGTAAATCTAGAAGGCCCACCTGGCATAACGACAGGTGAGACCTCCTCCACTTGACACCCTCCGCAGTGGAAGGTGAGGACCACTCCAACTCCTCGAGCTCTTTTTAGAAATGGGCTTTGCCACTGGCCTGATGCCTGAACTGCTTCTTTGTTTGTCCTATAGAAATTTACTTTAAATCTCCCAAACTGGATCTCTTCAGGCACCCATTGGAACCTGACCATGACTCATCCCAACATTGAAATTCTCCCCTATCCATGTCTGGGCCACAATGAGGATGCCTGAACTTGCCTGTGGCTCACTGCATGTCAACCC